TTGGGGCTACATGTTAATATATCTATTGGAAACACTAAGAAGGACTCCTTGGGGTAAACTGGAGCTAAACTCATAATCAGAGTCTAGCATTCACTGTTTACAGAGGCCTCTCAGGCAAAATACATATCAGAGAAAGCTGCAGACTAAGTTGCAAAGCCTCTTGTATCATGTTTAAGACGTCCGCTTTTGGCAAGACAGTCCTGATTTTTAACAATTTGTCCCGTGTCCTGCAGCGTTTTTAAAAAGTCCCGATTTTTGGAAAGATTCTGGTCACCTTAATCATGTTCCTCCTGGCTAAGACAACCCTATTAAGGAACTCCTGGAATCATATTTTGATCAATGGACTGAGACTTGGCCTGCCCAATTAGAACTATGTAGTCATATCTTCATTTGCATCTTTACCAACCAATCAGAACAGCTTCATAATGACAAACAAGGAAGCACAATTCTGACCAATCAGAACAATGCTGTTTGAACCAATCAAACTGTGCAAATTTGGATTCCTCGTTTGCATAAAAATGGAACAATCAGGGCATTCGCTCTCTATACTAATAAATGTAATATGCTCATTAGACCCGGTTGACCAGACATCTTCTGATCATCCAGTGCTCCTTCTGGACAAAGCCACAGTGGCGGGGGCCAAGGCAGAGGCAGTTAGGGGCAATCAGGCCAGCAGGGGAGGACAGTTAGAGGCAGTTAGGCCAGTGTGAGAAGCCACCCATTGTCTTCACTATCAGAGGAGTGTAAATAAGGACCACAGAAAGCTGGTGAACCTACGGCAAGGGCCAGAACTATGCACGATTGTTTAGTCCAGACAATGGGGGCTCAAGCAATTTCCTGACTAAATAGTCTCAGAGTAAATCTTTCTAATATTTACTGACCTTTAGGATAGTCTCTCTATTACCACAATTATCTGCCTGACTAAGGGCTAGATATGTATCCAAAATTGAATAAAAAGTTGGCAAGACCTGAGCACCAGTGGGAGTCCTCCCTCTTGCGTTGGGTTCCCACCTGGCCCCCCAATTTCCAAATTATTATTTCTTGTCTCATCTCTCTCATTTGCATGAAGCCCCTCTTCCAGAGCCTGAATACTGAACCACGCGGGACGTGGGTCACTCACAGGCTGGTGGGGAGGGGGCAGTTAGGGGTGATCAGGCCAGCAGGGGAGGGTGTTAGGGGTGATCAGGCCAGCAGGCAGAGGGGTTAGTGGAGATTAGGCAGGCAGGCAAGTGAGCAGTAGGAGTCAGCAGTCCTGGATTTCCAGAGGGTGCAGGCTGGTCTGAGGAACCCCCATCTCCTCTCCCCCCCCATGCATGAATTTCGTGTACCGGGCCTCTAGTTTACATATATGTAGGCCTCTTTTTCTTGGGGGAGCATACTTTTGGTTTTCAACTAAGGCTGCATTTGCTCTTTTTGCAAACTGTTCACCTGAATGAAGTTTATCCATTTACCACAGCCCAGATTAGAGATTCATGTTGGCATTGGATTAGTGGCAGAGACCTTCTATTGACACCATATATCCCTAAAAGTGTGTGTGTGTGTGTAAAACTTTATATATCTCCCAAATTTCAAACTATATATGCACTAAGTACATACTCTTCCTTTATTCAATGTCCCAGCTAGTTTAGTAGGATAGGAGATTACGTAGGAGTTTGGAGTCAAACCTAGAGGCAGTAAGCCTTTGTCTGGCCTGTCTTGTCTCAGTACACACAACTCTTTTGGTTGTTTTATCACAAGCAATACCTACTAAATATTGTTTTATAATAGTACCACTTTTCTAAAGATATCTCTATTTTCTAGCTGTGATAATTTTGTTTTAGTTATTTCAAATTGGGGAAAGGAATATTTAGATTCAAGGTGAGTTTCAGTCTCAAGTTTAGTTACTTCACTTACCTACTGCTTATTTTTAATATTTTTTTGAAACATTCACATCAAAGGGCATAAGGCTTTGGAATTGACTTCTGTATATTAGGTACTTAACCTCTAAGATCATTCTAAGAAGATATCTGTAGGGGTGGTTCAAAAGGGTTGGGAAGAAAAGTAGGAAATAAAAAGTTTCCTTTTCTGCAAAGGCTCTGTAAAAAAAAAAAACACACAAATTTACATTAAATGGCCAAGGTCTGATAACTGGACTCTCCCTTTACAATTTTGAAAACACCAACTGTGTTCAGAAAGGTGCAGCCCTCTTGCAAAACGAAATTTTGAAATAAGTTAGTATGTTTCAAAAGTGATTTGATGTTGTGTGGAGCCAAAGAAAATGTTTTCTGTGTGGTATGGGTGAACAAACAATGAGGCTTTTTTATTCTGTGGGATGGAAACATTTCTTTAAAAATGAAGCCTCATAAATTTTTATGCTTTGAGGCATGTTGATTTTTTATTTTTATTTTATTTATTTATTTATTTATTTTTTAAATAAATCTTTATTGTTCAGATTATTACAAATGTGATCCTCTTCCCCCCCTCAATTGCTCCCCTTCACCAGGTTCCCACCCCACCCTCTGTCCTTTCCCCATCCCCCATTGTCCTCATCCATAGGTGCACAGTTTTTGTTCAGTCTCTTCCCGCACCCCCACTCCCCTTTTCCCTGAGAATCGTCAGTCCACTCCCCTTCCATACCTCTGATTCTATTATATTCACCAGTTAATATTGTTCATCAGATTTTTAAATTCCCTTGGTTTTTAGATTCACTTGTTGATAGCTACGTATTTGTTGATCATAATTTTTATCTTTATCTTCTTCCTCTTCCTAAATAACCTCCTTCAGCAATTCATATAATTCTGGTTTGGTGGTGATGAACTCTTTTAGCTTTTTTTTTATTTGTGAAGCTCTTTATCTGTCCTTTGATTCTGAGTGATAGCTTTGCTGGGTAGATTATTTTTGGCTGTAGGTTCTTGTTATTCATCACCTTGAATATTTCTTGCCATTCCCGTCTGGCCTGCATGGTTTCTGTTGAGAAATCAGCTGACAATCTTATGGGTGCTCCTTTATAGGTCACTACCTGCTTTTCTCTTGCTGCTTTTAATATTCTCTCTTTGTCTTTTGCTCTTGGCATTTTAATTATGATATGTCTTGGTGTGGTCCTCCTTGGATTCCTTTTGTTTGGGGTTCTGCGGGCTTCCTGGACTTGTAAGTCTATTTCTTTTTCCAGGTGGGGGAAGTTTTCTGTCACTATTTCTTCTAGTACTCTTTTGGTATCTTGCTCTCTCTCTTCTGGAATCCCCATAATTCTGATGTTGGTTCGCTTGAAATTGTCCCAGAGGTTTCTTACACTATCTTCAACTTTCTGGATTCTTTTATCTTCTCCCTTCTGCAGAGGAGTGTCCTCTGGCTCTTTCTGTTCTAAATCTTTGTCTTGATTCTTGCGATCTCCCAGTCTGTTTTTAGGACTTTGTATAATAATTTATTTCAGACAATATTTTCTTCATTTCTTGTTGATCCCTTATTATTTCTAGTTGCTCCCTTTTCATATCCTCATAGGTCTCATTTATTTTATAGGCCTTTTTTAGGATATTGTTGAATAACCTTATAACTGTAGTTTTGAACTCAATGTCCAATCTTTTCTTTTCCTCCATCTCCTTCCTTTGTGTCCTTCTTCTTGTCTGCATTTTAGTTGTCTCCCTGATTTGATGGAATAGCTTTGTGTGCTAGGTGTTCTGGTACAGCCCAGTAGCACAGCCTTCCCAGTTACCTGCAGTGGACAGTCTTGGTGTAGCCCTTTGTGGGCTGTGTGTGCAGTCTTGTTGTTAAGCCTTGCTTATTGTTGGTATCACTGGGAAGCATTGATCTCCAAGCCAATTGGCTGTGAGGATCAGCAGTGTCTCAGCTAGGAGGGTTTCTGTACTCTGCTTGAATAGGGCGGGGTCTCGGGGTGGCGCAGACAATCTTTGGTTCCCTGTCAGTCTCGCCTTAGAAAAGTCCTGTTCCTGGAGAGTTTTGGAAGATTGGTTGCAGGCGCGCGCGCACCTCTTTGGTAAAGGCACAGACAAGCTTTGGATTCCTGCAAGTCCCTCCTTAGAGAAAGCCAGCCTCTGGGAGAGCTTCTGTGCTCAGCCACAGGTAGGGCGGAGTCTCGGGTTGGTGCAGACAAACTTTGTTTTCCCTTCAGCTCCTCCCCAAGTCCCACAGTAATGGCCTCTGGCTTCACACACCTCCAAGAGATCTCTGCCCACTGCCTGACAGTCTGGCCTCGCCCTGTCTGGGGCCATTTATCAGAGCAATAGGGTGATTCTGTTTTCCTCTCGGACAAGAAAGCCAGCCGCATTAGCTGTTCGCCCTCTCCGTGCCAGGAGTAAGCCAGTAGCGAACTCAGCCCTGCCCGCCCTCTCTGCGTGCAGGGAGTAAGCCAGCAGCAATCTCGGTCAGGCCCTTCCTCTAAGCACCGGGATTAAGCCAGCGCCTTTTTGCGCACACAGTTCTCCATACCTTCACAGTTCCTGAGGTTCAGCGTGCCTTCTCTCTCCTTCCCAGATGGCAGAGCCTCCTCTCAGCCAGCCATCTGATGCTTCAGGGCAATGCCTCCCCTGTTTTTCAGTTCTAAATTCAAATTTGTTGTGGTAGGCTGCATTGGGTGTCTACCCTATGCCGCCATCTTGGTTTCTCGATTTTTTTTTTTTAAAAGGAAACTAAGAGATTTTGGCGAAGGCTATATATAACCCACTCTAACTCTTTGCCTCTCTTTCTGACAAGTCCCCTGGCCCCTTCCCACACTAGTCCTCATTCTAAATTTCCTAGAAGGGTAAAAATGTAGGGGATGGGGGAAAATGGTGGCTGTGCTTGTGCAGGGTGTGTGTGTGTGTGTGTGTGTGTGTGTGTGTGTGTGTGTGTGGAGGGGGGGCAGTGAAAGCAAAAAACCGCCAAAACCAAGGCCTGGGGCGGGAATGGTGGGGTGAAGGGGGTTGCAGAACCTCCTGGGTAAACAGAGAAGGGCAAATTCCAACCCAGGGACGTGAGGCCACTTGTGGGCCCTCAGATTGGATAGGACAGAGATGAGTGAGAGGGTGGTGCATGCTGGGCCCTGGAGCACAAACCGGAGGAGGGGGTAGTATGTGCGGGTGCATGAGCAGGGGGAGGGGACGCGCGCTCGTGCTGCACTGGCCTCAGGAGTTGGGGGGCTAGCTCCTCGGTGACGCGAGGCCTCACGTGACGGAGCTGCGGAGGCAGCAGCCTCGGAGCGGCGGCCGTCACTCCCTCTGGGTACCAGCTCCCTCCCGCTGCCCGCGCCGGCGGCTGGCATCGGGCCCGGATCAGCGCGGCGGGTAAGCGCCGGGGCGCGCGGGGCCGGGGCAGCGGCCGCCCCGCACCCCGGAGGCCGGCGCCGGGGTCAGCGCCCGGTCCCCCGGCCCCGTCCGCTCCGGCGGGCGGTCTCGGGGCTTAAGCGGCGGCCCCGTGGGGCGCGGGGCTGGGCGGCGGGTGCGGGGCGGGCGGCAGAGCCGCTTGGCCGTGGAGATCGCCGCCGCCCGGTGCCCTGCGAGCGCGGGGAAGCCGCTCCGCTCCGGGGAGAGACGCGGGGGGAGGAGGGGGGCGCGGAGAGGGAACAGGGAAAAGACGCGGCCCGGGAGGGGGGACGTAAGAAGGGGGCGGTGGGGCCGGGGGCGGGGGCGGTGGATGCACCGCGGGGCCCGCGCCCTCCCCCGCCTCCGCGGCCCCGCAGGCCTCGGGCCGGTGTGGGCTGCGCCCCGCGCCGCTCCGCTCCGGCGGCCATCGGGGGAGGAGCCGCTGCGGGGACAGGCCCCGGTGGGTGCGGGGTGCAGCGCCCAGCCAGGGACCTCCCCCAAGTTTTTGTTCCCAGTCCCCAGTCCTCCATTTTGCTGTGTGCTGAATCCCGGGGAAGAATTCTGGGAAGGGGAAAATGGTGGGCTTTGGGGGAGGGAGGAGGGAGGAGGAGCGAGCTGGGGGGCGGGGCTGGAGCGGAGACCCCCCCCTAGAGGGCGCGCGAAGCCCCTGAGGTGGGGAAAGTGATATTTCAAAAAGCTTTGATATCAGGCCCTGAATCCAACTGGTCAGTGCACCAAGCATTCAGTCTCTCCGTACCTTTGTCTTACTTGTGTTCAAAGAGAAACAATCAGGAAAAAAATCTCATCATGGCAGATATCCACCACGAAAACGAGGAGATGGAGCAGCCCGTGCGGAATGGAGAGGAAGACCGCCCTCTGGGAGGGGGCGAAGGCCACCAGCCAGCGGGACACAACAGACGGGGACAGGCCCGCCGACTGGCCCCTAACTTCCGATGGGCCATACCCAATAGGCAGGCCAATGATGGGATGGGCGGAGATGGAGATGATATGGAAATGTTCATGGAAGAGATGAGAGAAATCAGGAGAAAACTTAGGGAGCTGCAATTAAGGAATTGCCTGCGTATCCTTCTGGGGGAGCTCTCGAATCACCATGACCATCATGATGAATTTTGCCTTATGCCTTGATTCCTGCCATTTTTTTAATGAGATTAATACTGTGATTCCCACTGTTGTTCTCATTTTCCTTGCGTTTTCTGATATGCCTTTACTTGATCTGTTTGCTATGAACCTTATGTAATTTCCATGTGTCAGGTGGGTTCTGTGTTACCAGCTTCTAATTGGAGATTGCCTTGGCACACAGTCTTAAGTTTCTGTCAACAGTAGTTTCACCCATTTGCATGGAAAAATGTAAAGTTAATAAAGCAATTAAAAAGCAACCTATACATTTATTGTCTCATTACACACACACACACACACACACACAGTGAGGCAAAAGTAGGTTTACAGTTGTGGTACACCAAATACACTTTATACTTGTGTTATTAATTCTTGTTATTTTCCATATGAACGACTATAAACCTACTTTTGCCTCACCCTTTATATATGAGTTCTCCCCCCAAAATCTGAAATCAAATCCCTCAAGGTGTTTATCAGGGAGCATTTCTCTGTGGTTGGCTAGTATATGACTTTTTCCCTTTAATTATCTGGAGTTTTAGGAGTAATGAAATTTTTTTGCAATGAGTGTGAATATAGTGCAAGAACATAATACTTTCTGCATCAACAAATTTAAAGGATGAACTCTAAATATCTTCCAGGGTTAGCTGAAAAAATAAACTTTTATTACAGATACATGTTTTTAAAGAGTCAGTTTTATGTAAAATGAGGACTAATGCTTGCCTTACAGGCCGCAGAGTGGAATAAATGAAGCATAGAACTGTGTTGAGCTTCTATGCAACTCCCCAGCAGTTAACAGAATCCTGGCTCCCGTCGGGTGCGTGGGAAGGACTAAAGGTAAGGTGACCAGCGGGACAGTCCCGCTTTTGAACAATTTGTCCCGCGGCGTTTTAAAAAAGTCCCGCTTTCCACAAATCTGGACTTTTTTTTTTTAACATGCCGGGGGACGTGAGACAAATTGTTAAAAATCGGGACGTCTGGTCACCTTAACTAAAGGGAGCTTTCACCCATGCTCATAAGTCCAGAGGGCCAAAGTATGTCAGTTCTCTGATATTTGCAATACTCTTGCTTCCTTCTTCACTGCCTCATCAGCTGAGAATACTTTCCCGTCTGCTGGGTCCCGTTGCTGATGTGCTAGAGTCGTCAAGGTAACAAAACCTCACTGATTTCTCTGGAGTCCTTGGTGAGCTAAATCCCCCTTTGACCTCTACAGAAGTTTAAAAAATGCCTTTATCTTCACTTAATGTTGATTCTTAACCAAATAACTTTAGGGTTTATTTTTATGCCCCTCCTCTTCAAAGAACTCAGACAGGAAGGCACCGGGGCATAGCTCAGGAGACATATCTAGATGTCACCATGGTGTGTCCAGGATACGCTACTTCAAGACACCAAAACAAGCAGGCTAGCTCAGCCAGTGTGGCTGAGTGGTTGGGCGTCAGTCCTATGAACCATCAGATCACAGCTCCATTCCCAATCAGGTCAGGGCACATGCCCAGGTTGTGGGCTCAATCCCCAGTGGGGAATGTGCAAGAGGCAGCTGATCAACGATTCTCTCCCATCATTGATGTTTCTATATCTCCCTCTCCCTCTCTGAAATCAATAAAAATATATTTAAAAACAAGCAGGCTAAAAGCTTTGTTTTGCCTGTGTTTCTACCCTTTTCGGGGATTTTCTCAAAAGCATCTGGACAGGCCTGCCCAACCAGTTTAGCAGACTTACCTTGAAGACATGGAAATTATATTAGGGAAACCCGTTTTAAAACTGAAACTCTCCTTTCCCATTTTTCTCCCTACCACACCTGAAACAAACTGCTTTGTAAGTTCTTAAAAACAATAAGTTTTTAGCATTATCATTTTTGCTTGAATATGTGCCCTTCTCAAGATAGTCATTAAGTCTTAATCATCCTGGAGCTCAGTTTCTAGTGTGGTGCCTGACATATTATAGAAGATATTTAATTATTAATTATTTTGATTGATAATCAACTATAATGGAGCTCAGGACCCAGCTCAGTACTGTTTCTAACTGTCCTTTATAATTAAGTGGCCTAAGGCAAGTAACTACTTACCTGGAAAGTATTACTTTTCATTAAAAAAAATTGGTAAGAAAATTCTCTAAACTCAAATCTGTAATTTTAGTGTTTACATTAACACAGACCATTTACTTGCATCATAGTCACCGAGGGAAACTGAAAAATGCTGACACTTCCTATTCTCAACCCCTGATGTCACCCCCAATTACCGGATCAGGAATTACTATTTTGACAATTTCTCAGGTGATTTTGATTCATCTAAGTTTTGACAACATAAGCATAGAGAAACACTGCTTTATATCTTTAAAACAAACAAACAAAAACAAAAAAGAGAAACACTGATAGTGATTACACCACCTCAAAAATCTTGTGATCTAAATTACCTTACTTATTTGATTCCACAATGAATATACTTTTCCAAAATATAACATTAAAAATTGGGTTCCATTAAACAGTGTATACATTTAAACCAGTACTGTTTTTACCTTTCCAAATATCTTATCAATGCATGTAGTTATTATTAATGATATTATTAATCATGAACCTAGTAATAAACATAACATTATTAAATAAGTTAGGCATTATTATTTCTATGCAAGCTTGTGCCTTTTTATAACTTTTTTGTCTTAATCTTCCTGGAGATCAGTTTCTAGCACAGTACCTCATAGTAGATATTTACTAACATAATAATGCATTGAATTATTCATATAAATATTTTATTGATTTTTTTACAGGGAGGAAGGGAGAGAGATAGTCAGAAACATCGATGAGAGAGAAACATCAATCAGTTGCCTCCTGCACACCCCCACTGGGGATGTGCCCGCAATCAAGGTACATGCCCCCGACCAGAATCGAACCTGGGACCCTTGAGTCCGCAGGCCGATGCTCTATTCACTGAGCCAAACCGGTTTCGGCTTTATTAAATCTTTTAAGTATTGAGTCTTTGAGGGTGGTTAATTTTTTATACTCATGCTTTAAGTTTCTGTGAGGAACGTTTTAAAATGTAACACTTTCTATAATTATGTAATACAAGGTCATTATTACATATTTGGATTTTCAGACAATATAAACAATGCCATAATCCAATCATCCAAAGAAAATACTTGTGAGTTTTTAATCATCCCACATTTAGCAAAGTTAAGCCTCAGAACTTTAGAATACTGTGTCTTACACAAAGCCCCTGCCAATGAGATACATTTAGCTTGTTATGTTTATTTTATTGTCTGTCTTCTGTGCTCATCAAAGCTAATTGGATCACATTTGACCAACTTTCAATTATTTTCTGTTTTTCAAAACTGAAAACAGTTGTTTTCATTTCAGCAGGTTCGTCCTCAATTGCCAAATTTAGGAACATTAAGTGGATAAATTTACTTAAAGAACAGGACAATACTATTTATTTTTGAAACTTAAAAGTTGTGCCATGCATAGAAAAAAGACTGGATTACATGAATGACATGGTCACTGAGGACGAAGTCTGTAGCTGAAAACTGTTCATCTTGATGGATGGTGGAACAAATTTTGGAACTGTTTAGACTGAAATACACTTGGGACATTCAGAAGAGTTCCACTAGAGAAGTGGATAAAATCTGTAGAGCCAGAGAAGAGAACAGTCTGGGCTAGAGATGTGGAATTGGGTGTCTTCATCACTATGACTAGTGACAACTGCAGAAGTGGAAGGGATCAGCTAAGGAGAACATGGGGACTGAGAGGACATGCAATTTAGGGAAGCAATGTAGCTCAAGCTGTAAGAGTACAAGGGTTGGAACCTGTCAGTTCTAGTTGGCTCTAAATCTCTACTCTGTCATTATTCCAAGTAAAATAATACTATAGAATAGTTATAGAAGATTCACACTGAATATAAGAACAGAAAAAGGTGAACCTAAGAGAATGTTGAAAGGCATATTATACAAATTGCATCTATAAGAAAGCTAGTATTGCTTTTCAAGTATCAGACAAGGTACAATTCAAGGCAACGGGAACTTATATAAAGGGGACATTTAATAAAAAAAAAAAAAAGATCAATCTACCAGAATGGTATCATATTCCTTTATTTATATGTGTCTAAAGACAAAGGAAAAATAAAAATGAGAACAAAAGGACAAGAAGAAAATTCCATAATATTAGAAAGAATAATATAAGTTTTTGGGCCCTGTTCTGTTTGGCTCAGTGGATAGAGTGTCAGCCTGCAGACTCAAGGGTCCCAGGTTCGATTCCATTCAAGGGCATGTACTTTGGTTGCGGGCACATCCCCAGTGGGGAGTATGCAGGAGGCAGCTGATCGAGGTTTCTCTCTCATCAATGTTTCTAACCCTCTCCCTTCCTCTCTGTAAAATCTCAATAAAATATATTTTAACAACAACAACAACAACAACAACAACTATATATATATATATATATATATATATATATATATATATATATATATATAAGTTTTTGGTAACTAATAGTATCATCAGGAAAATAAGTAAGGATATCAAAGATTTTTCTTAATTATTAATACATTTGACCTTGAACACATATGTAGAACCCAGAAAACAACTATTGAGTAACTGGGGAAATGTAAGTTAAAAATTTTCTAGAACTGCTGAGAGACTGGTTTGGCTCAGTGAATAGAGCATCGGCCTGCAGACTGAAAGGTCCCGGGTTTGATTCCAGTCAAGGGCATGTACTTGGTTGTGGGCACATTCCCAGTGGGGGGTGTGCAGGAGGCAGCTGATTGGTGTCTCTCTCATTGATGTTTCTGGCTCTCTATCCCTCTCTTTTCCTCTCTGTAAGAAATCAATAAAATATATTTAAAAAATTGTTTTTCTAGAACTTCCAAAGATAGGAAATCATTCAGTTGTCATCAGTCAAATTGCAGAGTTCTCCTTGAACATTGGGGGCATTCATTAGAATCTTCAAAGGAAAATATTTTAGTATTAGTAATAAAATAACCCTAGAGTAAACATGCCTGATAAAGTTTAAAGATAAGCCTCAAAAGAGTTACAGTAAATGATCTGCCCACCAGAATTAAATCTAGCACCCTTTAACAAAAAATATATAATCCAAACATTCAATCACACAAAACTCACTATCTTCAGTCTCTAAAAAAAATTACTAGCAATACAAAAATTGTAGAAACCTGACCAATAATCACAAGAGAAAAAAAAATAGTCAAAAGAAACAGATCCAGAGATTACAGCAATGGTGAGATAAGCATTCAAATATTTAAAATAGCTATTGTCATAAAAAATA